AGCAGAAGAAAATCCATTACCGAAGCGGAAGTGCCCGAGTACAAGTGTACATGGGTGATGAAAACAGAAACTGCAGGCCGCATCGATAACGAGAACGAACGTGAAGCTGCTCAGAATGCAAATCAATCATGCCATTTCGCTAACCTCGAGTTCTGGAATAGCGAGTAAATAACGCTCGGTGTTGTGATTGCCACTGCAGTATCGCAGAAAATCGTCAACACTCGTGGAAGCTGAACACTGCGGTATAGGCTGAAGGGTAGGGGCGAATTGCTGTGTGCCGCGCGAGTTGCGATCATCTGGCATCGCATCGGTCACGAGCAGTGCTCTCAACGATTCAATTGATGAAGAATCCATCGCAGAAACTGTGGGAGCGCCCGCACTGCTGGCTGTTTCGGCTACTACTGTTGCTGAGCCACCGATCTTCCGACTCGAATCCCTGTCATCATTGTTCTTTTTTTTACCACACTCGTCAGGCACAAATATTCGCCATGCTAATATCAACACCTGAAATAGGTTATTTCTGCGAAAGAATTTAGTAAAAAATGAATAAATTTTAATATAAGAATAACGGTGCGTGACAGAGGATTAACGCAGTCTGAGCTGCCGTCACGAGCACATTACAGCCAAATAGTGCTGCTCTTTTTATTACATTTGAAACTGCTCCTCCATTTTGTTTGCTGGTTTCTACAATATGGCACCTGTGTTAGATGCTGTGACCACGACGACACGATATAAAGTCTCGACACTGCATCCCTCATGTTCACTGTGTCACTATGTGAGTTTTTATAAATCGCAACCTTTTCCTCTTTCCGTATTTCATTCTGTACGGAAGACGGAGCCAAACTGGCACTTGCTACCTGACAATACTGTCAATTGCTTTCTTTTTCGAGGGCTACTTAGAAGCAAGCTGATACAGGTTCAGTCTGGTGGCATATACTACTACCAATTTGTCAGCGAAATGAATAAATGAGTCGCAGAGAGATAGTTGTATCAAATGCGGAACCGAACCCTCGATCATCTACATG